TTTCTAGAGAGACAAAAAAAAACAACCATTTGATTTAAATGAAGAAAATAATTTACTTTAACAATGCCAAGGTATCGTTCCTTAACAGCTGCTTCTTCACGTTCTTCATCAGCACCTAGAAGATGAAAAAAGTAATAATGAAAATGAAAACAATAAAAAGATATGAAAGAATTACTTGAGCTACTTGATCGATCTCTGTGAACAACTTTTTCATGTCGATATCGATCGCGTCCTTGATCATCTTTTACAACAGTTCGTTGAGCTTCTTTACCGAATGTATCATGTTTTTTAAGCAATTCTTCATTGCGTTGACGCACTACTTCCACTTCGTCTTGTCGTCGCTGTAATGCTGTAGCTTCACGTTCTTGTTTAGTTACAAATTTGGGCTAAAAAAAAGAAGAAAAACTCGATTAATGCATAGCAATGATTTCTAGTTATGTATGCTTCATATCTAATAAGTGTTGTCATTGACGAAATAGAACGATAGTTTAGATCAAAAATGAATCTGTTCATTAAATTATCCATATACGTATACCAATACAAACCAAAAAAAGCAGACGGTATCGATATAAAGTATTTATCGTACCGTTTCGCAATATATTCTAAGATTACTGTGGTTGTTCTTACTCATATAATTTCGTCACTAATATATTCAGTTTTATTTATTTCTAATATGAGTTCTATGCATTCTCTTGATATCTATTTCATAAATGATTGTGAAAGTACAGATATTAGATGATGTATTCAAGGTCTTTGGTTTTTATTAAATGGTATAAGTTTCTAGCCAAACCTCTCGATTTAGCTCGGAGGATCCTGATTTTTAAAGGTTTATTTAGTCTGAGTTTTAGTCAGACCTTGAATGAAATAAGACAAAGCAAAAAAAATACCAACTATTGCACTGTTTGACGGATGCCGTAACCGACAAGAAAACGCGTAGTGTCTGTTTGACTTGTCCAAATGTAAGATAATTGATTTCATAAATACATCCTATGTCAAAAATTCAATGGGAGAAAGGCGTACTTCTGTACTTCAGAA